ATGGTCCCTGGCTCTAGTAAATTTTCCGACCTTTCCTCCCCCATCTCAATTATCAAGAGCCGTATCAAAAAGCTGTTACTGGAAACCCAGCAATTGACAACACCTGGGCGTGAAATTGAGTGGCTCCCCCTAAATAGCTGGGGCATTGAACCAGCTTAGTTGATCAGCATCCCATCCCTTGCATACAATTAATTACAAAAGCGCTAATTATACCTGTTTCAAAAGCATCCTGTCTGGAAGTTCCCTGACTGCCGTGTGAATCTTTGGATCTATTTTTGGATCTATTTTTATATTGATATGATTTTTATATACCTATATATCCATCGCATAATTTCCATGTCCGCCTGAACAAACCTGGCACCATCAAATCTTACCTCTAGAAACCCCAGAACAAATCAAGCCTAGTCTGAATTCAAAGCTAGTTGACCAGCTACGTACAGTTTCCTGGACAACTGGAACCTTTTTGGGCCATGCACAAGCCAATAGCATGTATGGTCCTGCAGTGGGGTCTCCTTGTCCTTGGATCTGTGTTTTGATCCGTCTTTTCTTAAAATTTTCAATTTGTGTCACTTAGACTCACCTATTAAATGTTAATCGACACCACTGGTCCTAGTTAGATTTAGCCAAGGCACGACTACTCAAAAGTAACAGTTAAATAGGTGTGACATACTATTATATTCTTATAATTATATCATATGAATTGATTGCACTGCTAATAAATAAAATACTTTGTTTTACTAAAAATACTTTGTTTTACTAATTTATTGTAAAAGCTAAAATACTCATTCTAATTTCTCATCCAAGTCATATCAGCCGATGTGGTGTTATGTTGTGCAGTAAAAGTCCTCTGCTCCACATGGTTGAGCATTACTAGGTTTATCAGCAGTTCCAAAGAATAGAGTCAGGGGGTCTGAACATAATCACAAGAAAAAATGATATTTTTATGGCCTGATTAGATGTATTTATCGTTTTTAATCACACTCACTTTCAAAACTCAGTTTCTTCCCAATCAGTATTCCCAACTAAGGTATAATAGTTTTGTGCTCCGCATCGGTTGAGCAAGGTGTACCATTATTGATAACGTTATCTGGTGCGTATTCCTTTAAACTAAGATTTTGTGAAAAGACGGAGATTCTACTATAATGTTTACCCCTGGTTGAGACGAAAAATATGAGGATATTTCGACTGCTCCACACTGGCTGAGGTCCATTTTATGATTTGGCAGTGAAAATATTTTGCAATTAACGTCCAGGATCTATTTGTTAAATGGCGATCAAAATAGTCAAAAAGCATAGATTTTATTGGGGTGCTCCACACTTTTTTGCTCCACATCGAAAACCAGGTCATAACTTTTGCTCCACATGAGATAGAAACTTCATTCCAAAGAATTCAGAAAATTCGGAATCTTCAGATGAAAATGATATCAGAAAGGATTAAATTGCTCTTTATCAACCTGCTCAAAAATTTAAATCAAAAAGTAAGCAAAATGGGCAAAGCAAAATTGACAATGACCTTATAATCTTCTACATAGTTTATCGTGGTTTGTTGATACTGAATTGGTTTATTTGATCCTTGATTACGTTTACACTGTTTGAAACTAATTGTCAGTGATTTAGTCTTATGGAAACCTATGCATGATAGAGTGCAGCAAGGCCGACCAAGACAAAGCGACTTACTCTCAGTGGCGTAACGAAAGGCCCTGCTGACCCCGCTGTGCAGGGGGGCGCCGTCTTAGGGGGGCGCCAAAACGTCGTTTGAATGTGGGACAATTTCGAAACTCTTAACTAAAGTACTAGCAAAACTGCGCGTTTTGCTCTAGATACACACTTTTTTAGAGATTTTACCGGCGTATTCTTTAAAATCACCTAATTTGTTCAATTTTAGGGAGGGGCACCAAAAGGGGAGGGGGCGCCAACAGGGGGGCGCTTTTTTTGGCAGGGGGGCGCCAACAGGCAACGTTACGCCACTGCTTACTCTGCCAGCGTATTCCTCTGTCAAGTTAAATGTGATGTGCGAGTGAGTAAGTGTAGTGTAAAGAGATCCTATTTTTGTATCCAATTTGAATTCTATTAAAGACCCTAAGCATTATGATCAAATTTTTAGTACAATAGTTATATCAGGGTTGACATCTATGATTAATATTATAACCCAGTATTCATTTTTTTTCTCCCCTAAATTTAAACCCCCGGCCCTCACTTAGACATTTAGCCATGATTAAGTATTGAACACCCAAAATACTTACCGTCCTTAATAATTGTAAAGACCCTTTTGTTACAAAATAGCTGCTAGAGTAGTGCATGCCAAATATTCTCTCTTACACCCACAAATTATAATGCCTTCCTATCAACGCCTCTAATTTGGTCATTAATCAACCAGACTAGCGTTCTGGTGTGTACTAAAGCTACCAGCCAGTACATTCCCTGCCCCGCTAGTTGATTGTCAAAAAACCATACAGCTCAGAACAAACGGCCATTTACCACCAAGAGCATTATAGATATGTTTTCATTTTTTAAATTTTATGCTGTGAAATGTGCTAAAACTTTGATTAAATTTGTTTTATTGATTATTTGTTTTATTGAAAGCTACTTGTCTATGTTACTGAAGGAAGTTGAGTACAAGCAATGAGTACAAACAGTAGCGGTTCATGCACAGATCCTTGAGGTACTCCAACTAGAACAGGTAGTTTATCAGATTCCTCACCTAAAACTGAAACGTACTGCCGGCTGTTAGATAGGTAACTTTCAATAAGCTTATTTGCATTACCTCTTATTCCATATGTGTCAAGTTTGATGAGGAGTTTATAAGTGCAAATATGTAATAAACTACCAAGCAATTTAGCTCTTAAACTGGAAAGTTGTCTCCTTGAAGCTAGAAGAGCCACTATGACATATTGATAAAATAAAGTTAAATTAAAAAAACAAAGATCTTATTTCATAGCAACCTGCAACAATCAATAAGTTCGGATATATCCATAGTCATTAGTCATTATTACCATTCCACATGAGGTTTTATTATATATTATAGTTCATTAAGGCCAGAGGGGGGGGGGGGGGGGGGGGGGGGTGGTAAGGGGTCAAAAAAATTGACCAAAACATTATTTTCTAAATCAATTTAATTTTTGATGACAAAAACATTGCTGCTATTCACGTATTTGTAGCTGCTTAACTTTTTTTAATAATTGAGGTTAACCAATTTTCACAAAATTGACTATACAACATTGAGGTTAATAAAATTGAGGTTAATATTTTATTGCACTCCATGATTTTTTGTTATTTCGGTCAGCAAATGTAAACTGTACATTTTAGGTTCATAATTGTCAGGAAAAGTGATATCCAAACGTGATTAAATGAGGTTAACCTCTTGTTTTAGATATAGCAAGAATAGATCAAATGATAGAATTATTATTTTCGTCGTAAGTTTACGGTATACACATTTCTAAATAGATGACGTGTTAATTGACTTTCTTTTATCTTAAGAAAGTGGAAAAAATGAGGTTAACCATCACATTTTTGTACCGTAAGAATATACATACGATTTTTACTTTTGTAATATACCACAATATCGCAGTTAGGTATCTATTGGTATCACAATGCCTCCAACTATGATCAGATAACAAAGGTGATTCGAACTGACCATATTTAAGTAGAAGATTGTACCCGTAAATGGCTAAAAAATGAGGTTAACCTCTCATTTTTTGAATATCTGACCTCAAAACTTATTCGTCACACTGTGCAAATGTTTTTCTATAAATATAATAGTAACATGTTAATAAACCAATCCCAGTGTTATATGGTCTATAGTGAGGTTAACAATCAAATTTTTACTAATTTCAATCAGTTACTGTTTACAGGAAATCTTGGTTAACCTCATTTTTTACGATGCGATGACACCAACTACTGAAATTGGCTAAAATCATTCAGGGAATGGCCAGGTCTTATCAAGCGAACGTCATTAAGGGTATACAAAGTCCTAACTAACGAACTGTGACACTTTCCAGTGAATATTCAAAATTTTGAAAACACTAAAATGTATTTATCTCAAAACACACTTTTATGGTTTTCAATTCCTTAGTTGAGAAAACCAGCCACCCCCTGATATTGAGATTTGGTACAGTGGTTCCTTGGATAACTATCTAGATATCTGGTGTAGCGATTTTTTTATTTGACTCGGTTCTCGAATTATGAGGTTAACCAATTAAATTTTTTCGAATTTTTGACATGGTTAACCTCATAATTCGAGAACCGAGTCAAATAAAAAATCGCTGCACCAGATGTGAGGATAATTGTCCAAGGAGCCACTGTACCAAACCTCAAGATCAGGGAGTGGTCGGTTTTCTCAACTAAGGAATCGAAAGGTCAAAAAAGTTACAGCCGTTTAAAGTTCCAGTTTAACATGAAATTACAGGTAAACCTCAAAACTTAGCGCGCGATATCTCAGAAGCGCAAGGTCAGATTTTGATCCAGTTTTTTTCTTTTTGTTCGTCTCCAGTAGCCATTATCAAATATGCAAAATCTAGAAAAGTGCCATTTCCCCCCCCCCCCCCCTCTGGCCTTAATTAGTGTTATATGTTATAGAATAACACTAATTATATATATTAAATTTATATATTATATATAACACTAATTGTATATAATAATTAGTGTCTAAATGATAAAATCATAAATTAATTTACAAATAAAGAAAACACAACTTTTGCTCTGCAATACTGGTTTGGCGCTGCTGATACTTGTTTAACACTTATAAGTTTGCATAAATGAGTTTGGTTTAAATAAACCAAAACTATAGCATACATTACACTTTAATTGGCCTTCGAAAATAACAACTAAAAATTTAGCTGTACTTTTTTAATTACAGTACATGATAACATATATTGTTCAGCGATAAAGTAAAGTACTTTTGTTTTATTATTTAATTGAAAATACAATAATTGCATAATCTGATCTATAATAATTAAATAATTACTTACTACTACCAACAATCTTAACATATTGCTTATTCTAGTAGACATGGTTATCAAGAGAGTTAGCAGCTAGATGTCCAAAGACTACCACAAAGATGACAACAAGCCAATCAAATTTCATGCCTGTGGTAATCTCCCAGTTGTATGCATATCAGAGGGTAGTGAATCCAGTGAGCAATTTGAGGACAATAATACTGACATGAAAGAGGTTGTAACATTAGATGAACAAAACTGTGCTGCTATCAAAATTCAGGCCAGCTGGAGAAATTACCTAGTTCAACGAAATTTGAGGAGAGCACCATCACCTAAAGAAGAAGGATTCACAGATGAGCAATACCTCTCTGCTTTGATCATCCAAAACTTTTATCGTGACTACATCACGGAAAAGCGACTCAAAGTCAAACAAGAAAAAGCTGCTCAGGTGATCCAACATCATTACCGACAGTACTTAAGAAAAAGTGAGGAAGAGTTTGAGGCTGATTTGGAACGTGCTGCTCAAATTGCCCAACAAAGTTATAATCAACTGCAGTCAGAAAATGAGAGCAACACTGCATTGATTGGCGATTCTAAGTCAAAGGATTCTCCAGTGATACCAAGCTCACACGAAGAACAAAATTCCAATGAAGATGTTAGACAAAATGAAGCTGCAGTCACTATTCAAAGAAAGTATAAAAAGCGTTTAAGAATACAAAAGAAGAAGCTCTCTTTAGAAAAGACGAATAAAGCAGCCATATCTATATATATACAAAAACAATTTCGAAAATATTACACAGAAAAGAATAATGCTGCTATCAAAATTCAGACTCAATACAGATATCATTTAGAAAACAAGAAAGCTATTGCTGCAGGTCTAGAAATTGATAACAATGCTGCTATCAAAATACAGACTCAATACAGATCTCATTTAAAAAATAAGAAAGCTGTTGCTGCAGATCTAGAAAACAAGAAAGCTATTGCTGCAGGCCTAGAAATTGATAACAATGCTGCTATCAAAATACAGACTCAATACAGATCTCATTTAAAAAATAAGAAAGCTATTGCTGCAGATCTAGAAAACAAGAAAGCTATTGCTGCAGGTCTAGAAATCAAGAACAATGCTGCTACCAAAATTCAGAGTAAATACAGATCTCATTTAGAAAACAAAAAAGCTATTTCTGCAGATTTAGACACTAAGAACAACAACATGGAATATTCTTTTGATCCTATTTCTTTTGAAGACATTACAAAATCATCTGATGATGAATATATGCCTGAGATAGCTGCAATTACCATACAAAAACACTATAAGAGTCACTATGCAAAACGAGTTTCTGCTGCTACCTTGATCCAAAATGAGTTTAGATCTTACAAGAAGTTTAAGACAAGGAATGAGGCTCAGGATTTGAGTGAAGTAAATGAAAAATGTCTTTCCAGCCAGGATACTGAAGAACAAAAAGCTGTAACACTCATTCAGAGGCAATATAGAGCTCATCTTATACATGTGCACTTGTCAGAGAAAAGGAGTAGGGACAACTTGCATGACAGTCAAGAATCTTATAGTTTGGCCAATAATATAGAGAAAGATGATGAACATATTGATACTGCCAGTTCTCTTGAGCAAAGCATAAGTCTGGTATTGGGCGACGAAGATATAAAATCTGTAACCAGAGGACCAGGTGAAGAGGAAGTTGACATCGTGGTTGATGACAGAACAACAGTGTATAGTGACTCCACTATTCAATTTCAGACGACAACTGGAATGAACAATCGCGGCTCAATATATAATAAAAAAATGGTTGATGATATTCCGTCAATAGGTGATGCAGATGGGGCATCAATTGATGACGATATTATTAATTGGCACAAGAGTTTATCAACTAAGGTACCTAGCCATGGAATAAGGCCGTCCCCAAAAGCACCTGGTCCAGTGCCTGCACCATCAAGAGAGCCCGAGTTTAATATTAAACCTAGACGCAACTTTGACAAAAAATGGCCTGAATCAAAGAAAAATCAGCAACAAAAAGTCAAAGATTCACCACGAAAAAAACAAGTCCAAGCATCACTAGAGATGAAACGAGTTCAGCGAAAAAATGAAAAAAATAAGCGAAAAGACATTTATCATTTGAGTAATTTACGAAAGCAAGCACCAAACCCAAAATTCACCGAAGCTATCGATAAAAAACAAGAGAATGGTCCAAAGAAAGTAAAAAAATCAGATACTCCACAGATTAAACAGGTTTTTATTCTCTAGCTTGAATTTTAATTGATTTAAAAAAGTTGAAGTTGACTGAACAAAAATGTATAGCACATTCTTCCACTTAGCTCCACGAAGTCTTTCTTTCCAGCAATATAATTAATATAGAAAACACAGTCATCTATCGGTGACGGATGACTATTGTGAAGGTTGGTATATTTTGTTATCGTGTCAATATAATAGTCTACTACAGCATGTATTCCCTAAGGTTGAACTAATATTACTAATACTATAATATTACATATATTTAAAGTTCTTTCCATCCCAGAACCACCAGTCTAACGACATTACATCAGAATCAGAAATACTGGATCCCCGCGAGACAACTGAAGAGGATTCTTCACCTAATGTAAGTTACTTTTATAACTATCAACTATGTTTGGTTGTTCCTGACCCTATAGAGCAACTTATAAGATATGATCTCTAATTATTTGAACAACTAATGGTAATTTGAACCGCCCTAGTTACTATGCGTATGTACTGTTTTGCTAATTCCAGACTACAATGCAGTGTATTGCGTGGAGTAAGTCGCTCAACGTGTAACACTTTTTATTAACTTATTATATCTACGACCACCCACCTAATATAATATATTGGCTAATAAAAACTGTTTCAGAACATACTCTCAGTGGAGACCCGAGGAGAAACACCGCCATCGTTAGTTAAATAAATTAGTAAATTTTAACCTTTCCCTATTAGTTTACGGTACTCTAAACTAGTCCTAATGAAATTTCCATTATTGTAACACTAGCATCTCCGTTATTCACTGTATACTGTATACTAGTACCAACAAACAAATTATTCATTAACGGTTTAAACATATATTGAACATTTCAGGGCATTAGAAGAAGAAGACACGGCTCTGAAGGCTGTTACATCAGCGTTGATAACCGACAATCAGGGCGCAGTCCTTAAACCATCTAACAACATCAATCTCCAATACTCAAAATCAACACACCCAAATGAGAACAAGACGCACCACAGGGCGGAGCAAGTTCAGGACGCGCTTGGTGGGAGAGTTGCGCGGCGTCTCTCTGATCAGTCTTCTCTGAGTAGTGGTACCCAACAGATCACTTCTAACAACACTTCCAGCAATAAAGTTAGTTTATGATTTATAATGATAAATTAGTAACCGTGAAGTAAGTTTTATATTTCTGGCTGGTCCAATATTAACTTAACTTCGGCTCAATGTGCCACGTTTTAGCAGTTTTAGCAACAGAGATTGCGTCATATTACAAACACAAATCTAATGAGTTAGACTGGCTCTTCGGCTCTTCTTATGATATGATATATTATCTCGGTTTTAATTGTATGTTACAGCATCATGTTCTGTTTGTTCGATTGATCATGAATTGACTATAGTTCGGGAAGTATTTAACTTAGGTGTAAGAGTTTAATGTGTTCAGGTGTACATCACTACCAACAAAATATTAGATACGGGATTAATTGTTGCCTGTTCGCTGATAATTATAAACCCGTTAATACAGTAAATTTGTACAAGTAGACGCTTAAGAGCACGTCATGTTATTGAGTTCGCACATCATAGTTTTGGTTTATAAGCCGCCGTGTTCCGATCACCAATGAAAGGCTGAAATGTAGCCAATCACTCTCTATAATATGTCACACCGGTCTCTATCTGTGTATTACTTACAAGAGGTAGCGATCAATTAACCGTTAAAATGATGTTAAATAGGGAGATGTATTGCACATGTTGTGAGTTACTGTGTCACGTATTTGGTTACTCTGTATGTGAGTGTTGCCATGGTAACTCAGGATCAATGACCTCTTTATTCAGGTAGCTTTAGGGTCGCTGGACAGTTACGCAGTACAGAACATGCTCAAACGCAACCACCTTCTCACCAGACAGGTTATTGTTAATTAGCCCTTTTTAATAGGCTATGATTAATTTATAATTACTAATAGAGTATCTGGTCAAAACCTGGCACAACTTAGCGAGTTTAGAAGGTTTGAGATGTTATTTGTGCTCCATAGGGTCTCTACTTCAAAAAAAAATTGGGTGGATAATTTTTTATGTTTGTTTAAACCCGTGACCACGCCCTTTTTAAAGCGTGGGAAAAGTTTGACCAAAATTATTAAAATTTGCCTATAATATTTGATGGGGGTCTCTAAATGGCTTGTTATGATGCCATCAGTATTACTAGAACATAATAAAATAAAATTTGGGTAAATAAAAGTGGAGTTGCACCCTGACCACGCCCATTTACACAATTTTTGGCGGAAAATTCGGAAAATTCGAAGTTGTCTACTCTAGCAGCAGGAAAGTGTTTAGTTTGTATTTACACTGCTGACTCGAGTTAAATAGGTTATATAAGTAACTAAATTCAATTAATTGGGCATGTTGAGCCATTAGTTCAGCCTTGGGGAACCACGCCCATATTTTATATTAGGCGTGTATGTGAGAAATTTTTATCTCAGCTTCTGAAAGTTGTAGAAACTTGATTTTTGGCTTAAAATTACCGCAATATGTAAGTTTATATTGACACTATAAAGGTGCTGAAGCTCCCCGGGACTTACTTTTGGATGAAAATGAGAAAAACTGATATTTACTGAAGCGCAAACAAACAAACAAAAAACTACCCTAGCAGCTAGGTTAAGTCAAGTAAGCACATCAATGTATACAATTTTACTCGACACAGTGTCCTTCGTAAGGTCTAAAGGTCATTCTGGGCTAGAATAATTTGATTTTGGGTGCCCACTTTTATCAGTAGTCCAACCCTGGCCTAGGTGGTAACATTTCTAAATTGCCCTCAGGCGCAAATACATATGATTTTTATATCCATCTCAGCTCCTGAATATTATTATAGGACATTCAAGATAACCACAACAGCAGAATGGCCATATTCATTATATACAAGCTATGAAGCAGTATGGGGTCTAATATTTTAATATCTATATTGCATAGTTTTTGAGATATTAATTTTTAAAATATGATTTTTAAAGATATCTTTACAACAAACGTTCAACACTACCGCATTTATGTAGTTTCACATCTCTCGAGCTACTGCACCTCTCAAGCTATTTAAATCTGAAGCTTGATGCATCAACTACCGTCTACCAGCACCATCAGCTCAACTTAGAAATCACAAGCAACCCGCCGGGCAGCTATCTCTAGCTAAGCTCATTTCAGTACCCGTTGACTATAATATTATATGCCCACTTTTATGTCAGCACAACCTCATCTAGCAAAGTCCAGCTGAAGCTACTAACAGTTACCTCCAGCCCTATCCTATTATTACTTTTCCCTCCAATTGTAGCTCTTTCCACCGACCTCAATCTCATTTAAGAAACTCCAGCACTAGCTAACTGCAGCTATAGCTATCTTCTGCTATTATCCTTTCCCTCTAATATTAGCTCTTTCCACTGACCTCAATCTCATCAAGGGAATTCAGGCTTTAGCAACCTTCAGTTACCTCCAGGCTCCAACTCTACTTTGTTGCTGCCCTCTTCAACTAATTGTAGCTTCTAGCCTGCTATCACCAGTATCCTCCAAATATAAATTGTATAGCAACCTTTTAGTTAGCCGCGGGTTTGCTTACCACAATAAAGCAGGGACCCTCTGCTTGAAATGCTCATAAATAATTCACTGGTCACTGAGAGCACTGAAAGGATGCCCTTTATTAAGAATTTAGACAGAAATATACATTTCAGGAACATTTAAAAAAGAAATGTCCGGTTGAATATCCGGCCAAATTCTTAAAAACCGAACCGAAACCGGACATTCAAGCCGGATATCCGGTCAGTTCCTATAGAGGATGCTGTAAAAATAACTGGAGTTTAAGGGATCTGATGGTTGGCTGGCTCGTGTAGTGGTAACACGACCTCCTCCCACGCAAAAGGTCCTTGTTTCAAATCCGGTCTGATTCATGTCGGCCGATCACTAAGATTCACACTCCCTGGCTCGTAGGACTAACCCCCTACAACTAGTATACGATTATAGTGCCTTGGCACAGACTGCAAGACGCAAGTGGGTGAGGATTACTGAAAAGGATATAAGCACATCAGGCCATTACCGGGAGAGAACTGGGGGTCACAATGGTGAAAAATTGTGAAAATGGTGAAATTTTACAATGGAAACAAAATCATTCACTATTTTTCTAAATTTTACACAAATTTTCACCATTGGAATGAGATTGAGGTCACAGAAAGGGGTAAAATTGGAGGGAAAAGTAATAATAGGATAGGGCTGGAGGTAACTGTTAGTAGCTTCATCTGGAATTTGCTAGATGAGGTTGTATTGACATAAAAGTGGGCATATATTATAGTCAACGGGTAGTGGGTACTGAAATGAGCTTAGCTAGCGAATGTTCAAGATCAGTTGATGTGAGATTTTGTGTAACACAGAGAGTCAAAACAGCTACCATTTATGTTTTATATATGAGCATTTCAAGCAGAGGGTCCCTGCTTTATTGTGGTAAGCAAACCCGCGGCTAACTAAAAGGTTGCTATACAATTTATATTTGGAGGATACTGGTGATAGCAGGCTAGAAGCTACAATTAGTTGAAGAGGGCAGCAACAAAGTAGAGTTGGAGCCTGGAGGTAACTGAAGGTTGGTAAAGCCGGAATTTCCTTGATGAGATTGAGGTCAGTGGAAAGAGCTAATATTAGAGGGAAAGGATAATAGCAGAAGATAGCTATAGCTGCAGTTAGCTAGTGCTGGAGTTTCTTAAATGAGATTGAGGTCGGTGGAAAGAGCTAAAATTAGAGGGAAAAGTAATAATAGGATAGGGCTGGAGCTGGAGGTAACTGTTACTAGCTTCAGCTGGACTTTGCTAGATGAGGTTGTACTGACATAAAAGTGGGCATATAATATTATAGTCAAAGGGTACTGAAATGAGCTTAGCTAGAGATAGCTGCCCGGCGGGTTGCTTGTGATTTCTAAGTTGAGCTGATGGTGCTGGTAGACGGTAGTTGATGCATCAAGCTTAAGATTTAAATAGCTTGAGAGGTGCAGTAGCTCAAGAGATGTGAAACTACATAAATGCGGTAGTGTTGAACGTTTGTTGTAAAGATATCTTTAAAAATCATATTTAAAAAATTAATATCTCAAAAACTATGCAATATAGATATTAAAATATTAGACCCCATACTGCTTCATAGCTTGTATATAATGAATATGAACATTCTGCTGTTGTGGTTATCTTGAATGTCCTATAATAATATTCAGGAGCTGAGATGAATATAAAAATCATATGTATTTGCGCCTGAGGGCAATTTAGAAATGTTACCACCTAGGCCAGGGTTGGACTACTGATAAAAGTGGGCACCCAAAATCAAATTATTCTAGCCCAGAATGACCTTTAGACCTTACGAAGGACACTGTGTCGAGTAAAATTGTATACATTGATGTGCTTACTTGACTTAACCTAGCTGCTAGGGTAGTTTTATGTTTGTTTGTTTGCGCTTCAGTAAATATCAGTTTTTCTCATTTTTATCCAAAAGTAAGTCCCGGGGAGCTTCAGCACCTTTATAGTGTCAATATAAACTTACATATTGCGGTAATTTTAAGCCAAAAATCAAGTTTCTACGGCTTTCAGAAGCTGAGATAAAAATTTCTCACATACACGCCTAATATGAAATATGGGCGTGGTTCCCCAAGGCTGAACTAATGGCTCAACATGCCCAATTAATTGAATTTAGTTACTTATATAACCTATTTAACTCGAGTCAGCAGTGTAAATACAAACTTAACACTTTCCTGCTGCTAGAGTAGACAACTTCGAATTTTCCGAATTTTCCGCCAAAAATTGTGTAAATGGGCGTGGTCAGGGTGCAACTCCACTTTTATTTACCCAAATTTTATTTTATTATGTTCTAGTAATACTGATGGCATCATAACAAGCCATTTAGAGACCCCCATCAAATATTATAGGCAATTTTTAATAATTTTGGTCAAATTTTTCCCACGCTTTAAAAAGGGCGTGGTCACGGGTTTAAACAAACATAAAAAATTATCCACCCAATTTTTTTTTAAAGTAGAGACCCTATGGAGCACAAATAACATCTCAAACCTTCTAAACTCGCTAAGTTGTGCCAGGTTTTGACCAGATACAGGATTATACGTTATAACTAGTTAATTGTAATCCCTTGATTAACTGTGCAACTTGGAGTTTAAATTGCCTGATTTCGACTGTCAGTCTTCTAGAGCTAGTAGATTACAGCTATACAATGTACAATGTAAGTCTTAGTAGAGTAACAAGTAAGCAGAGTAATATTATGTAACTAACTGACCTACCATAGGGCTCACTTAATATAATTTAGTTAAGACCCCCTATACTAGTCTTTGAGTACCACACCATATCACCACACCACACCACATCTTTCATTAACATTTTTAAAAGCTTGCTGGATCTATATATTATGCATATTTTCTACTTGTAAATTTGTCAAGTAGAACACAAGTGTAAATTGTTTGCGGTGTGTCATAGCTGAGATTTCAATGGCAATTTGTCAGCGGATTGGCTGATATTTTGTGAATAACATGAAATCCTTGAATTGCAACATGCATGTAACCAATGTAATATTAATGCTTAGTAGTTCGTGTTTCAGAAAAATGACAATCACTCCTACCTACAAACTTACCTGAAACAGATGAACGTGATTAAGAGACCGTAAGTTATATTGTTTATCGTACTTTTCAGGAGGTATTTGGGATGATTTTCTCTCTGTTACTCATATTTGCAATCCGATACTTACATTAACAAATATTCTCTCGTTAAACGCTCCAGTATATTACAAGGTTGGATTTTGATAATGAATCTAACAATCATCATTGTTAGATTCGTTATCAATTTATGATTTACGTCATGCATAATTGAGTATATTTCTGGGTATACTTCTGCAATGCAGCCTTGAATTATTGTGAAGCCTCATTGCCGGATCATAAAACAAGTTCGACCACACGATGAGAAATTGGTATAGTGCTTCTGACCCTGGTCATTAGGAAAGTTCTACAAAATAAATTGTTATTTACGGCTATAATCTATTGTTTTGTAACATTATAATTTTCAGTTCCCGAGAGATGATCTCCATAAATCAAGAGACTACTACTAATAAGCAGCGTCAGGTTAGCCTTCAGAATCAGTATTTATTTCTTCTTTCTTACATTTATATCTCAATATTATATACCATGTGGTGGTAGGTGACCCTGACACAATAATATACAACAAGTATCTGGTATAGTGGGACACCCTGTTAATACCTGAAATACGCGAGAAGAACGTTTACACTAGGCGTATTAATAGGCGTATACGTGTGCAGAAAACAAATCGTATACCATTTATTAATCGTACCATTTATTTACGATATCAAATTTTGAAGTTTATTTTGAACTTGCTGATATCGAAAAAATTTGTTTCAGACCAGAATTACAAAATATTAAAACAAGTCAAACAATTCCTCTCAGTTTTAAGATTTTAAGGACAATACAAAAGTGAAGCGACGCACTATAAACTTATAAAGTATAAAACAAAAGTAATGTTGAGCAGAAACGGCCCAGATTTCTATAATCTCGAAATAAAGCCAAATCATAATAATATTGTGATTGTGTACCATGTTAGATGCATTCGCAAAGATTCATTAGACTCATGTTATTACAGCTGTTTAAACAGGGTTATTTTGAGGGTTCTGTGGTCATAGGCGGTGATCTATGAAGATTACCACTAAAAGTCTCAGTCTCACATTTGTCTGATAGATTGCTGACACGCAGGGGTTCCCCAAGAGTTGATGCAGTGGTAGAGATTTGGGACGGCGAACTTGGAGAGATGAAATTTGTTCGTTTTGCTGACTTGCAATGTTCATCTCATCTGATGGGAGTTAAGCTTAGTATAAATCTCAGATTGTATTGCCGAAAGTTCAGAGGGGTGTTGTAGAATTAATTACCTTGAAAATGATGGGGGACGGGGGTATAATGATGGGGAGCAAGGGTATACATTGAAAATAGTTAAAGTTTAAAAAATACTTAATTTTACTTGGAGAGGGTCTCTTCAAAGTGGCCTGCACCTAGGATCTCTCGTTTGTGTCGTATCACCACTCTTTAGTGTATCACCAGGCAGCTCTTTCACTAACCCTAAGATAGAAACAAAACTTTATAAATTTGAAAATAAAAGTCAATTGCACAATATCCCTTGTGTTAATTATATTTTGAGTATCCGCATTAAAATGAGTAAGATGATAACAGTAAGACGTGATAACATCAAAGTTTACCGTTTTTTCCTATTCAGCCACTTATCTTAATACAATATGAAACATCACAATGGTGGTAAGGAGAGGAGGACATCTAATCTCCATCTATTTTGAAGAGAGTGATTGGTTAATTAATTATTGGTTAATTATTTATTGGTTAAGGGGGCCGGGGGGGTCTTCATCAAAATTCTCTCGAAATTGACTTTGTAGCTGTTTCTGGTAGAAGGGAGTGATATCTACCAGCTGCTTTTGGTCCCATGGAAAAATATTGTTCCTAACCGAAATTATCGCCGGTCTAAGGTCAGCGCTTATGTGTAATTGTATTGCGCGAGCGATTTTCAATCGCAAATTCTGAAAATCGAGTCTAAAAATCTATCTTCTCCTACATTTTTTGAGCAATCACCCTGAAACTTTCAGGATATGTTCTAGGGACCATTTAGAAGATTTGATCGAGCCAAAATTTTGAGATAGGCCTTTAAAAATGTTTTATTCAATTTTGAAAATCTTGGACCTCGTTTTTTTACGATTTTTTCAGGTCCAAGATTTTCAAAATTGAATAAAAAATTTTTAAAGGCCTATCTCAAAATTTTGGCTCGATCAAATCTTCTAAATGGTCCCTAGAACATATCCTGAAAGTTTCAGGGTGATTGCTCAAAAAATGTAGGAGAAGATAGATTTTTAGACTCGATTTTCAGAATTTGCGATTGAAAATCGCTCGCGCAATACAATTACACATAAGCGCTGACCTTAGACCGGCGATAATTTCGGTTAGGAACAATATTTTTCCATGGGACCAAAAGCAGCTGGTAGATATCACTCCCTTCTACCAGAAACAACTATAAAGTCAATTTCGAGAGAATTTTGATGAAGACCCCCCCCGGCCCCCTTAATTAATTATTGGTTAATTAATTATTGGTTAATTAACTAGTCAATGGATATTCTCGACTACAACCTGGGTAACCGATTAAAAAAAACCCAAAAAGATAACTCGTGGCCGTCGAACCTGGGAGAATATATTTTAATATTCTTCTTTGATGCTCTTGCATTCAACCGAATGTGAGCCATTGCCATACAGACTTATGATTTAAACAGTTATAATTATATTTGAAAAGTATTAGTAATAAAAAAGATATCTGTGTTAATTATAATGGACCGGGACAGGATGAATCTGGGTTATATCAAGTAGGGAATGAGGGGGAAATTGGGGAACCTGGTTTTGAAATGTACAGTGTGTTTGAAAACTTAACACCGATCAAGGAAATACAATACCTGGAGCAGAGCAAGCAGGCTCCTTTTCAAAATCAAAATCTGATCCGTCATTGCAAGTTACTTCACTGCTCCCTTTTTGGAGATGTTCGGGGTGGGAGCAGGTCACGTTCATAACCGCTTCTGGTTCTGCTGGGAATCCATCTAGGGTTATGATGCCTGTCCATCCTGGAAGCCCTTCACATCTCCCTGTAAATATTAAATCCTAATTAGTTATTATTTGTATTGCTGGGCCCTTATTTGATCTTCATCATAAATATATTTCATTGCAAAGTCATCTTAAATGCAGTATAATTGACTGAACGTATTTTTGCTGGCAGCTATCTTGTTTGCTGGATACGGTTAATTCAAGTGCAATAAATTATTCTAGACATAAATCATAATTGAAAGTAATCAATTGATCGGAATATAGTTAGTACCCAGTGGAGAACTATACAAGGCTGTAGCTGATCCAGAGAATTTGACTGCTGCAGCACCTCGATACCACTTGAGACCATCACCCCATCCAGCGTTAGAAAGGCAGGTATCTCCTGACATATCCAACTTCAGCACTTCCACCTTGTTGCACAGAATCTCTATTTCAACCACTCGATCTGAGATCTGGGTCAGCGTTATCTTCCAAATCTTCTCGTCTTGACTCGGTAATTGTGAGTGGAAGGACTCGCCTCCATTATTACACCACATGAGATAGTATGTGGGATTGGGTCCCATCGTTATGCTAACCTTTCCAACATCACTTCCACCATTATAATCCTCCATTTTAATTGAAAAATCTGTTTGCTCGTCGGAAGGAGCATCGGTTTTTATCATGATGGGATTGGTATCCAAATCATATGCTATTCTTAAGTTATGGTATGCTTCTATCCAACCTGTAGATTAATACCTTATATAATGTGTCTTGCAATTTGAGGAACGGATGATTCTTTAAAACGTTATGCTCGAAATATCATCAATGAGGTATGTTTTTCAGTGGGCTTAATTTTACAGAGATGTGCAGATTTTTAGCTGAGCAGTATCATGTATTTTAAATATTGATTTCATAGTTTCATAACATTACCAGTATGTGGCCTATAGTAATCTGTGGCCGTGTCTGATTTGCTAAATTCCATACTTCCTACTTTTTGACCCCATCGGCAGTGACCACCACTACATGGCAGACTGACAACTTCCACGTCATTGCAGTGTATCTTCACATAGATTGGAGCTGAAAGTACCATGATATAATATCGTGTGTAACTGTTGTGTCCTATTATTCACGGTTTCTTTGAAAGTGGTGTGATCATTATTTCTCGTACTGACTAGGTTTAGTGTAGGCACTCTGGATAAGGCAGAGTTATCATGGTGATGTTAATGAGGCCAATGATATATTATACATAGGCAGTGAAATTGGTGTGAAATGATACTAATATTATATTATTTCCCCGATACGTAACAAACTACAACTATTTAATAATTAACTTATGTTCGAAACGTTTACCGATGAATAAAGAGATTCTCCAGATATTCTCTTGAGGAAGGCTGTCTAAGAACTGTTGTTCAAAGAACTTGGTTCCTACGAAATCTCGTATTGCATATGAGACTTTGTCACCGAATACGATGGTCACGCCGCCAACATGATGCCTATAATGAGATACGTCATAGAAGTCTACATTAGCAACATCTCCACTACCAGGCAGGCTGCTTGTCTTGATTTCTAGTGGAGTGTGCTCAAGATTGTGGTTTATTCTTACTTCACGATCTATCGCTATCCACCCTGAAAATTGTTTGCTGTTTAATACAGTTTTATGCAACCGAATGTACACGTTTGCTTCAAATTACATGCAATCGTCTTTGATTCTCTTAAAACTCTTGAATATGTTGGCTGGATGGTATCGGAATTTCATGTGCCGACACAAAAATGTTGATACCTTCATTAGCTGCTACTCCAGATGTTAAAAGGCACGCCACGGTTAAGATCATCATGTTCTTGAAAAGTGTCACGAGATATTTTCTAGGGACCCTCTTTATAAGTCTGCTCCGCTAATATAACTGGCTTACAGATAGTTCAACAGAAGCAAAGGTCAAAGATAGATTTGTGTTGTGGGACCTCAAAGCAAGGAGACAAGCAAGTATTAGGTTTGGGTCACGTGGTGTTGAATCTAAACCAATCACAAAGTATCATAACTGTTGAGAGGTTCGGATTGGTGAGAGTACGAACATGAGTTGTTCTTATCGATACAGGAGCAGTACTCAGAGGAATTGTCATTAGTATCTTAGTTTATCATGAGTGGAGCTAGTATATTCACAATACAAATGCCCGTCCAAATTCATACAACGTAAAAATTGTCACAGATCGTCTAAACTAAAGACTAATCGATCTCAGGATGGTTACGGATAATGATCATAGACATGACCAAGACAAAGTCAACCCCCCGTCTGTGCTCATGTTATGAAACTGGGTACTGGTTATCGTTCATACTTACACTAGCGATCTTAGCTGTGGAGTAGATTTGTCTAGAGTAACGGAATTTTATTCTCCTCACAAAGCAGCAGACTGTCTAGATCGCTGGACGATCTAGAAGAGGTGCTTCTCGATAAGGCTAACAACTTCGTAACTATTGAGGGAGGGGGCTTTGT